CCTTTACACACTCTTACACCAACCCCACTACCTCTCCCACTTCACTCTCACACCACTTCACACCCCCTTACCCCAACCCCACTACCTCTCCCACTTCATCTCTAACACCACTTCACACCCCCTTACCCCAACCCCACCTACCTCCCCCTTCATTCTCACACCACTTCACACTCCCTTACCCCAACCCCACACCCACCTCTCACACTTCTCTCTCACAACCACTGTCCCCTCCTACACACCCACCACTACCTCTCCCCTCTCTCTCACACCACCACCCCCACCCACCCACCCCTCTCTCACACAACCCTCTCACACCCCCTTACCCTTACCCCAACCCCACTACCTCTCCCACGGCACTCTCACACCACAACACACCCTCCCCAACCAACCCAACCCCACTACCTCTCCCACTTCCCTCCACACCACTTCACCAACCCTACGACCACCCCACACACCTCCCCACTTCACTCTCCACACCACTTCACATCCCCTTACCCCCAACCCCACTACCTCCCCACTTCTCCTCACACACACTTCACACCCCCCATACATTCCCAACCCCACTACCCTCTCCCACTTCCCCCTCAACACCACTTCACACACCCTCTTACCCCAACCCCACTACCTCTCCCACTTCCCTCTCACACCACTTCACACACCTCTTACCCCAACCACCTCTCCCACTTCTCTCTCACACCACTTCACACCCCCTCCATCCCTCCACCCCAACCCCACCAAGCCCCTCTAACACCGACTCCTCAGCACTCCCACGATGTCAGAACCCCTTTACACACCACCTCTTCCACCACCTCCCCTCATGACTGGCCTGGGAGTTAAACCCTGTCCTGCTTTTTTTCAGGCAGTTTTAACCTCTCTCTCTCTCATCTCATTCTCTTTCTCTTTCTCTCTCTCATTCTCTCTCTCATTCTCTCTCTCTCATTCTCATTCTCTCTCTCTCATTCTCTCTCTCCTCTCTCTCTCATTCTCTCTCTCATTCTCTCTCATTCTCTCTCTCTCTCATCTCCTCTCATTCTCTCTCTCTCTCTCTTTCATCTTCATCTCTCTTCTCTCTCTCATTCTCTCTCTCTCTCATTCTCTCTCTCATTCTCTCTCTCATTCTCTCTCTCTCTCTCTCTCTCTCTCTCTCTGTCTGTCTTAGGTTCTCAACATTCTTTGGTTGTGTAGACTTTTTTTCCTTTTCACTTGTTTTTCTATGTGTTTCTTAGCTTTCTCCATCAGTCATATTGGCGTAATAACTAGACTCCAGAGCATCTCTGTCTCTTTCAAACCGCCTCAAGACCTCCTGCTCCATCAGTAGTCACTTGTAGTCCCATATTCTCCTCACTTCATTCCAACGTGACCCTGTGTTACCATACTTTGCTGCTGTCCTCCTTCCCCTGACTGGCTGACTGATTGTCTGTCTGACTGTCCCTTCAGTAACACTGCCTGTGTTCCCATGGCTGGACCTTTAGGGTGCGGGTGTGTATTGTTGGACAGGACAGTTGAGTGTGTTTGGTGGGTGCTCGGCCTGGCTGACCCTCCATAGCCCCTTACTGTGCTGCGGTGGGCTGGGTTAGCCTGGGGGAAACTATTAGGGTGCCTTCCAAACTCTTGTGGTTAAGCTAAGGCCTGACTGCCAGGGGGCTGGGGAGCGTGGGGTGGTGGGGTGCGGGACGTCTGCAGTCTTTCATGATTTCTTCTATTGTTTCATAATTGTTTTCCGACATTAACTAAATGAAGCAAAACATTTGGTGCTGTTTAAATCCTATTTAATAGTTCAGCTATGTGGCCTGGTCTCCGGGAATTGGGATCCTTCTGGGGAGTGGAGTTTGGGAGTAGATAGGCAGGGATGTATGGTTTGTGTGTGAGAGAGCTGATGCACTGCAGGGTTTGATATTACAATAGGGTGGTTTTAAAGTGTGTGTCTGTGTGTCCGTGGGTGTCTGTGTGTGTGTGTGTGTGTGTGTGTGTGTGTGTGTGTGTGTGTGTGTGTGTGTGCTGTCTGTGGGAAGGCTACTGCTGCGTTTTTTAAGTAATGGGATTAGTACTGGGACACCCAGGGATGGGCCTTTATTCTCACATATCATCCCAAGCACAGAAACTATATGACCAGCAAATGGCATCCATTGCCAAGGAGAAAAATACTGATTTCCATGCCAACTTAATTGAAAATATAAATTTTATTGTTCTATTATACAATACAAAACAACGTAAAGCTAAATCTTTGAGGAACAAGATCTAAAAATTCTTTGTTTTACTCTTTTACTTCTCTCTCTATAACAGTATAAAACATCCACAGTAATAAATATTTGTGTATTTACATAAACCAGAATGGTAATATTCAGTGCATGACAAACACAGGTGTTAAAGGGCAATTCCGCCACTTTTCAACCTCATATTCAGTATCTCCAGCACCATACCAGTATCTACATATGTGAAAACAGCACATTTCTATGATCCGTGGTTAAAAAGATAAGAAGAAAGGTCCTAAATAAAATCTCTGTGACATCACAGGCTAGGATTAAAAGTAAGAAAAACTGTGATTTTCAAAACCTGCAATGAGTTTCAAGCCACTTCACCGCGAATCTCATAGTGTTTGAAAATCACTGTTTTAAAATGTTTTAACTTTTGATGTCATTGGGTATAACTTTTTAACTCTATTTTTGTTTCTACAAAACGTAGGAATGAGCCGTTTTCACATATGTAGACATTGGTATTGTGCTGGAGATATTGAAAATGAGGTTGAAAAGTGATGGAATTGCCCTTTAAGAGAAAATTTGCAGGGAAGAAAGAAGAATGTTTAGCCACTTTTCTAACAAATTCGGTTTCCCGCCCTCGACAAATCTGTGTAATCTACATGAATGGAAATAAACGGAATAACAGTTGAATAAAAACATGACCTGACTTATGACTAATGATAGCATATTTTCTCTCCTTCCATCCATTGGATTATAACAGGTGCATAAATCATTCTTCCCTCAAATTACAAGTAACTTCAGCATAAATATATATTTCTATATATATTATTTACAACATTTTGGTTTTCTGAGCTGATATACAATACATTTCCCTTTGTAGTGGCCTTATATTAAAGATGCACTATGCAGAAATCGCTCCACCATTTCCTGGCTGCTAAAATTCTAATAGTTCACCTAATTTCAGTTTATGTGACAAAACAAGCAAGTATAGTGTGGAGAATAGTTGTACTATCTAAACCGCTGTGAGATATCTTTTACATAACCAAAAATATTGTACTTTCAGCTGTTTGAAGCTGGTGTACAAAATCAACTTAAGCATGGGAAGCATAGAAATAGTGCATATAGAACAGATCTACCCCTTCTTAGACTTGCTTTAAATGAGAATGACAGATCTATAACTCAAATTTCTATGTGAATTTGGTTGGGTTGCACAAAAAGTTACATATTGCAGCTTTAAAGGTTTTCCCCTCGATTTATGGTGCAGCTCATATTGAATGGGAAAGTCTTTGTCTGTCCACTGTAAACTTGGATGGGAAGATATTGGATTATTTTACACACTTGTCACATGTTGCCACAGCAGGGCAATGTCTTTAGTCTTTGCCAACATAGGTATACCTCCTAGGCTAACAGAATAGGTTGCAACGTTGACTCCAGGTATCACTATTTGGCACTGGTTCCCATTTTATGGACAGCGTTGCCATACTGCAGGTCTCACTATTTGGCAGGTCACCCCAGTTCTCTTGCAGTGCCACTATCTCCTACACCAATACATACATCTAGTTATACTCTCCAATATTCAGTGTATTGATACTACATTAAAACTATTCATACATATTACGGGTTTCTTTGTAACAAATTACAGGTTGATATAACATTTTGTCTAACATTTTTCTGTTATCCTACAACGTCCAGTCATTTAACGTCAGTTACCGTGGTGCAGTAAATCCCTGTGGTAACTCCGGGTTGAGGTGTAGCAGATTCCAGAGCAATCTAAACAAAGAGGGCATGTGTGGTGAGTTAGACAGGGAATCATAAGGGCTTGGTCCACGTCCAGGACCTAAGTACATAGCAATTGGGGGAGAGGACTGCACATCCCGGGAGATGTACTTCACACAATTTTATGTGAGGAAAGTAGCTGTAGCAAAAGTAGAAAAACCCTCAATGATTTTTAAAATAACCACCCTCGTTAAAGTTCTTCACCAGTTTATGAGAGACCATGCTTGAGTTTTTCCCGCCACAGAGACATCTGTCTGACATTGTCCAGTAACCGTTACTCCTGTCCCCTCCTCACGTCTCCCCTCCTCTCCCCTCACTTCTCTCTCCTCCTCTCCCATCACTCCTCTCTCCTCTGCCCATACTCCTCTCTCCTCTGCCCATACTCCTCTCTCCTCTGCCCATACTCCTCTCTCCTCTGCCCATACTCCTCTCTCTTGCTGTAGAGGGAAGAGGTGGAGAGAACAGAGAGACTAGCTGTATCTTGTAAGGTCAGAGAGGGCAAAAGCCTTAAATCCCAGCGTCTCTCTGACTAATTTTGGTTGTTTATTTCTTGCCACAATTCTATTTCCTGTTTAACTACTTTATTTTACCTAATCTGCATCTGGTCTTGTTACTCGTGCTGGGAAGCCATTGAGAGGATTGGTTTCCATTCCATTCTACATGGTTGGATAGCTACAGCATTTAAATACCCAGTAAACACACTTACATACTCTCACGTTACCACAGAGCGTCAGGAGCAAGCACACGTAGGCACACACGCACACACACAACACACACTCCCTCCTTCTACACCCTGTAGTCGAACGTTGTGATTTTCTCTCTTCTTTCATCCCAAAAAACATTGATTAAACTCTAGTACTCCGGTATTCACTTTTTTTCACCCCCCAATTGCCCCTTTATAGAGTTAGCCCTTCCCTTCTCTACCAAGGCAACCCACAGGATTCTATTCCTGTATCTACACACCACCTGCCCAAAGAACCAGTCCATCTTCATCTCCCCATCCCTGTCCTCCTGGTTCTCCCCTGATCAGAGGCACTGGTGTAACGTCTGTGTGCTGGTGCAGTTGAGGCAGCTGACATGGCAGCACCAGTGGAACGTACAGTGACACCTCTCAGTGACCTTCTCAGTCTGGGTCTTGAACCCTCTACCACAACACAGGAGCTCACACCCGTCCAGTGCCGGAGACGAGCTGTTACAGGTCCTCCCTGAGGTACCGTGGGTACCCGTCTTGCCGTTGTAGGAGCAGAAGTTGGGCGACTTCTCGAAGTAGACCAGGTCTCTGGATGACGGGGGTTTGTGGGCGGGGTTCTCGGGTTCGAGATGGCGTGGGTCGGCGCGGTGAGAGGCGCGGTTGGAACCCTTGTTGGCGTAGACAACCCGGGATGCTCCGTCGAAGCGGTCCTTCAGGAAGTCCCCCACGGCGCGGAAGCTGGGAAGACGCATCCAGCAGGTACGCACGGTGCATGACCCTGACATGCCATGGCACTTACACTCCTGCCGCATCTCTGACGACACTGTCTGGAGGGAGAAGACACAGGCAATGGAGGAAATAAAACATGGAGGATGTGAACGGTTAAGAACATTTTGAAAAACGGTGAAGAGCAAAGAAAATGTGGAGGAATGTGAAGAGAAGAAATGTGAAGGAAAACATGACTGAAATTCAGAATAATGGGTTGATACAGGAGAATCACTGAAAAGGAGTGAACATACAGTACATAATGAAATGCTATCTATGAATCAACGGCTCCCTCACCATTCTCCCTGCCTCGTTGTTGTGTAGGTTGTTGAGGTATCGGAGATCCCTTCCTCTCTCGCTAGAGTCCACAAACTCCCGGCTGAACATCCGGCCAAAGTCTACATTGTCGCTGCAGCCGCCCCAGTGCCAGTCAGGGCCCCCAGGCCCCCGGCGACGGTAGTCACAGGTGCACGACTCAATGGCTCCCTCAGAGCAGGAGCGGGCCACCGCATGGGTCACCCCCGCACTTGTGATCGCAAACACAAACGCTGTCTCTCGGCAACCTGACACAACAACAGCATCAATTCTCTTTAGCGCTTTACAACCTTTTTGGCAGTGGACAGTAATGCAACTATGCTCAATCTGGTCTGAATGATGATTTAGAATGTCATAATCTCAAGATATGTAAAGATAGGCTTTTCTCTTCCCAAGGGACCTACGAGAGAAACCAAGATTCCATGACATTCTGCGCCAAAAATGTCCACCCATTGCCTTGGTGAGGAGGCCAGGAGGGACAACAGACAACTCACCACGGTTGACGATTTTGCCAAATATTGCCGGGCTGTGGGTGGTCGGGCAGTTCCAGCGGCGGTTCCTGAACTGCCATTTGCACTCCTGGATGGCAGTGTGCAGGCCGGCTGCGATTGCGTGGAGGATCCCTGGGTTCTGGCGGATGAGGCGGCGCTGGCGACGGCTCAGCAGGGCCAAGCTGGGGTCCAGGACCAACTGGACATTCTTGGAGTTGGTGAGGAGGTTGGCAGAGGAGGCCACATTCACAATCCCCCTAGTAGAGAGGAAGAGAAGACAGGGTGGATTCAGTTAGTTAGAGAGAAGCTCATACATTGGTCCTTTCATTGAATCTATTGACTTTAAAACAATTAATTAGGTTAAAATGTATTTAGTCATATCGGATTCTGATAATAATGGGATAATGGAATCAGTTTAATTGGAATGTGAGTATCAGCTACAAGAAATAACAAGCAACTTCAACATATCTACAATCTACGTAATCGGATATGATTATGGCTGCCATTATTGGCTGCAATATGACTACCATATTGCGTTGTCATCTACTATATTTATGGTTTCAGTTACGTTCCTAATTGTTGTCTCCTGCAAACCGTTAGCAATCAGAAAGACACATCATTATTAACTGACTGATCAGGGCCTGATGGTAGTGCGCGGTCGGTCCAGGCTTTGGAACATTATTATCCCATCTTCGGAGAAATATTTCAATCCAATTTTCTTCTCTCTCGTTGTGTATTTTCCTTCTTTATTTTCTTGGCATATTATAGTGATAAGGATTGGGTTAGAAGTAAGACCCATGTCAAACAAATAGCCTAGTTTACCCCAGTGACATTGCAAGGCTGTCCAAAATGTAACATTTAACTAATTATATTGAGGTCTGCGTTATCATTTTCATTATTCATTGAAATATTACTTATGCAACTGTTATCTTTGCAGTATAGGGATGATATGTATTTAATTTTACAGAATGCATATTATTCAATGAACATAAGCCTAATTCATTTATATTTGTCCACGTAAGTTAGTGTAAGAAACACTATTTTCACATTTTGGTTTGATAGTTTATAACAAATGTATGCAGACATTGGCATCCTACAGTTTATCCTATATAGAGTGGAATGTTGAGAATACGACCTGGAATGGAACTGCTCTTTGCCATGAAATAAATCCATATTTAATTTATCCCACATTGGAAAGAAAAATGTTGTCTCGCGTTCAAGCCACACTGTCAAAATGACTAGTGGGAGAGAAAGAGACAGAGAGGGAGACCGAGAGAGAGACCGAGAGAGAGGCTGACTTGAATAAATATGGGCTGGAACCAATCCCAAAATAAACTACATCGTTATCATATTGAAACATAATACTTTCTTTTACATCAAATAATTTAATGGAGAAAGTAGGCCTAATTCATTTCGATTAAAAACCGGCTGGATCTAGTTAGTTAGTTGCTCGCTCTAATTGGGAGGTGGTATCCAAAGACCCTCAAATCTTAATGGGTTGTGGTTGCTGCTTGGTTTTCTAGCAGAAATGAACTGAAATTATGAATCCGGTGCCAACAAGAACACATTATTATTTCGAACATAATAGGTCTACCAATTTTCTTTAGTGTTAATTCAATTGACATTGGAGGAGAGCACAGCATCTTTCAGGCAATAAACCACTATACCACTTAACTGACTCCTTTGCTGCACCCTCCGTCGAAATGAGCATAGGTCCTTAGGAGGCGCATTTAATTGAATGAATACATCACACATAAACTCAACAACTCACCACCACCGGCCGCTATTGTTGACTGCCCCCGTGCCTGAGAGCGAGGAAACCAGCAGGATGCACGCGGCTTTCACCCCCAGAAGCAGTGCGAGGATCCTCATTGTGTCTTCAATTAGAATGTGAAGAGAGAGCAGGCAAATGTCAAAATTCACCATCTGAATTCCAGGCACTTTGTATACCTGGTTCTAATTATGATAACAATCATATTTTTAAGCAAACATAAATCTAGTAGATGGAATACACGTGTTCACCTCCTGCTCCTTAGTGATGGCCCATAAATAAAACTGATCATAATAACTGATAATGAAAATAGGGCAGTTATCTCGTATTACAGGAGTCACTCTTATTATAAAAGTTAGGCTACCGGTTTATTAATCTCTCCGATAGCATATAATTCTCCCATGCAGGTTATCAAATTAGAGCAGGTAGCCTAATGCATCAACTTCCTACTCACCACACCACATTCCAAAGAGAGGGACTTTGGAGGTGAAAAAGCAACGAGGAGCCTGTCCTATAATAATTGCCTGAAATGAATCTGGTGAGGAGACAGTCAGACAGAGGAAACAGGTTGCTAAATGAGTCCTCCTCTGTAGTGCTGAAGTGTCTTTCCAGTCTAGGCTGCTGGATGCTGCTGCTGCTGTTCTCTTCACGTGCTCTCTCTGTCTAACTCTGCTCTGCACAGCAGCGCATTGAGCGCGTGGGACAGTCCCGAAGACTTGATCCCCTCGGTGAGTGATAGGCGACACATTCTTCTCTTATTGAGCACTACAAGAGGAATAAAAAAGGGATTTGCTGCTCTCATCCCCTCTGTTTTTTTCTGCCCCCTTTTCAATAGGATTGGAAGGAGGGATAGTTAATTCTCTTCATAGGGCACAATGAATAAAGAAAACAAAACCGGACAGAACAGATGAGAAAGGAAAAGAAAAAAATTGCCAGGGCAATCCACCAGTGTAAATTGTACACATTACTAACGGAATCTCACGGTAATCAAAGAATCCATCGATTCCTTGGAAATGAGGGAAATTAATGCTGACTCATGCTCTGTCTTCCACATCCAGTTTGTCTTCCTGAATGAAGTCCCTCTCAAGTCAAAACACTGAGATGTGTGTGTCTGTGTGTGGAGATTTGCTGTGACTGTGAGTGCGCACAGTGCGGTGTTCTCCTCCCGCTATTCTGTATGCGCGAGGCTGGTCGGTGTCACGGTACAGTACAGTTACAGCGGAATATGAGCCATCTAAACTGCCCTTTTTACCCGCTGGTAGGATTACTCCCTTAACCGCGTCTCCTCCTTCTTTATCAAACTCTCTCGTATGCATTCGCAATATGTTTTTAGTGGCTTGACCCATTTCTCTGCCTCTTCATTCAATCAGCTTATACCATATATTTGTCTTATTTTTTTGTTATTAAATAATGCCAACTTAGAGACCTACATTTTGTGCCCAATTAAAATATGAAATATACTTTTGGAGACTGTCTCACTCTTACCAAACTTTGCGCATGCACGCGCACGCACGCACACACACAATATCATCAAAAAGAATAGCCTACGTGATACATTCACATGATTAATGAATGAGACCCAAGTTGATGAATCATGATGATTCATAATATTGGGAAGAGGGTTTAGTTTAGAGAGGATGCTGTCATAATTTTAATTATTCACGTTTGAGATGATGATTCATATTTGGAATGATTTAGGTTTGATTAATGTCACCCAAAAAGAAATAAATGAATTCCCAAAACATCTGGCGTGCAGACCTCCCTCAACGCATGGCTGGTGATCAGAGCAGCAGTCACACTGCGGCGTCTCCAACTCATCATCTACAGACTGTGTGGAGGATGAGAAAATATCCCCCATAGACCTAGGGCTGGGAATTGCCAAGGAACTCACGATACGATATTATCACGATACTTTGGTGCAATATGACATGCATTGCAATTCTCACGATTCTATGTGTATTGCGATTCAATGTTCCAAACATATTGCTCACACTATGTCTGCTGCAGAGGGACAAGAGAGAGCCATGAGAAAACAACAACGTTTTGATCAGTCATAGAAATGAAAGTACTGAAAACAAATTGCCTCCCTATTTAAAAAGATGATGGAGAACATAAGCTATAAAGGAAAAATACTGGAGTTTTGGTGCAGGTACAGCCAACTAACGCAAAAATAATATTGTGAAATTGTCAAAACAATATGATATTAGGTCAAAAATCATATCCCGATATGCAACTATCGAATTTTCTCCCATCACTACATAGACCCAGACAGACAATTAATTGAAAGCAGGCTACTTGATGTCCTTAGCCTATATCTGTTTCTGTATATGATTGGAGTGGAGTTTCTTGTTTAGGTATAGGATCAGCCTTCGCGTACATCATCCATAATGGAATTATGGCATCTGATAATTATTTCTCTCTCTCTCTCATCCATAATGGAATTATGGCATCTGATAATTATTTATCTCTCTCTCTCTCTCTCTCTCTCTCTCTCTCTCTCTCTCTCTCTCTCTCTCTCTCTCTCTCTCTCTCTCTCTCTCTCTCTCTCTCGGTTTAAAGACATGATAGCAGAAGGAAGTGATCTTTTGTCCAGCGGTTTTAATGAGTGCTATCCTACGTCGATTATACTCCCGCTCCTTAAAGTTGCTGCTCAAACGGGCTTCCTGGGGCACTCATGCAACACCGAGAAGATTAGAGCCCCCAATCCGGATAAAGGGACGCCTTTTATATACAAATCAACTTCAAATCACTTTTTAAGCCACTTAGATATACACGCCAAGCTAGAATGCTAATGCACTTTTCATTGCCGGAGCTTAGGGAATAGAAGGAGATTAAATGATGAATTGGTGTCACTATGCGAACCGGCGGCGTTTAAGGGGGATTTTAACTCAATTTTATGAAACTACATCACGCGTTTCCATGTTATAATTCCTTGTTCTTTGAAGGAGAACAGGGATTAACGTGAATTGATAGTTTATCTGAATGCACCTGTTGATAAAATTACTATTTTACTATAGGCATATGCCAAATAACTAATTTTGCGTATGATAGAATATACACTCCTAGAAAGAAACGTGCTATCTAGAATCTAAAGGGGTTATTCGTCTGTCCCCATAGGAGAACCAGGTTGAACACTTTTGGGTTCGATGTTGAACCCTTTCCACATAGGGTTTTACATGGAACCAAAAAAGGTTCTACCTGGAACCAAAAAGGGTTCTCCTATCTATGGGGACAGCCGAACAACCCTTTCGAAACCCTTTTTTCCCCAAGAGTGTAGGCCTGTCTTTGTTAATTTTAACTGCGGTCGGGATAGCCTTGCATGGTCTCGTCATATCAACCATTGGAAACCTGCTGGGTGAGAACTTTTATCACGTCCTCAATAGTATCTGGTGCGTTTGTCATTTTGGGGAAGCTACGGTCTCCAAACGATGCATGGGAAAATACCCATGTTTGGCACATACATGTTAAAGGCAAGATGCCAAACTTAAAAGGGCAGGGAGAAAACAATTTTGGTAGGCTATTGTGTAACACATTTTTCTAGGAAACTGTATGAATTGTGACAATAACAGTTTATCAAATAAATTGAAAACGGATGAATTGTGGCAATAAACAATAACTTCTACAAACATCAAGAAAAAAATCGTTCATTCAAACTTTGGCTACTTATTGCAAATGCCATAAAACATCCTCATTATTCCCTTCTGTAAGGAACGTTTTATTTCCTCTGAAAAGAAAAGAAGCAGATTGTTACGGAGTGAAGAAGTTGTTTCAAACACAATAATAAAGAACAGACGTGCTTATTGAGGTGGGAGGAGGGGGGGGGGGGGCAGATGACTGTGTGCCCAAGTATTGTTGGAGAGCCAAGAGGAGCGCTGTGCGCCTGCCTGCTGCTGCCCCGAGCTCCCTGTCGTAGGCCTACATTGGAACCAGCAGCAGCAGCAGCAACCAACTAACCAACCCCCTCCCCCCAGCACTCTATAGTCATTTATTCCCTGGACATTTAGAATGATTTTTTACTTGGGTTTCATCTGAATACATGCTCGTTTTCTTTCAATTGTATCCAACAAAACAGGAAACCTCCCTATCAATGATGTTAAATGTTAATGCGTTTCCATTATCTGTTCAGTGCAGTCAGAACTCCCACTCACATTCGACCTGTGTTCATATACGAGATGATGCCGAGGGTGATGATGGTAAGGAAAATGGTGCCTGCGCGTAAAATCTTTGGATACTGCGTTATAACACTTATTGACTATCGGTCAAATTCACGTAACTGTTAGTCAACTGTTGATACTTTTTTTCATAAGGTCAATACATTTGAAAACAACCGCCTGCAGCGGCATCTCCACTCCCTTATTTTCTCTCCCCCTCCCCTTCACGTTCGCCCCAAACTATTCCGCTCCCTTTCTTCACTCCTCGTTCTTTTGGAGGCACATCGATAATCTACTCCACTCGTCTTCTTTTCTTTGTTTAATCGATTATCACACCAGTGTTTTAATGTCACGTCGAGAAAGACGCTTACCAAAATGGAGATATCACATCAATTCCGTTGGGACCAAGTCCTGATTTTGGCAGCGGTACTTATGTCACCTGCAATCACGTAAGTAGCCCGAGAGTGATGAGAAGTAGAGAGGGTAGGTTACTGATGTTCGATGAGCATTCCGGGAAAGATAATTAATTAAATCGAAAATTAAAATCGGAGAAAGATTCTGTCAGGCTACTGGTATTTCCATCAGTCTTATCCAGTGTTGTATTTTAGTTAAATAAGTTGGTGCATATATTACAATGCGTTGATGTTTCGGTTCAGCTCTGTCTCACTAACTGACTATTGCTGCTGCTACTACCTCTGTCATCATGATTTCAAATGTTTTCTTGTTTCTGACCTGTAATTACACACACACACACACACACACACACACACACACACACACACACACACACACACAAACAAGCTAATCAGAACCAACAGTTGGAAGACTGCATGATTAAGGATGTGTAGATCTCCTTCTTTATTAGGCTACTCCAGCTGTCAACTGGCACAGATGGTTGGTTTAGTAACAATGTCATCCATGTTTCTACTGCACATGATTTTACACTGCTGCTCTTTAGGCCTACTGTAATTTGTTCAACTAAAACAAATAGTGAAGCTATGTAAATACTGTAGATATGATGGTAAGCCTAGAGATATAATCAACATTCTATGTCCTTACAACTTTTCCCAGAACTTAAGCTATCTCTTAAGTCTTATGCATTATATGTCTCAGCGAATACCTATTCTCTGAATCTTCATTTCATTACATGACGCTTTCACTCTTAGATGAAGAGTCGGACCAGGCACTATAGGACCTCCTCCACAGATAGATATTGCTCTAGGACTTGATTGATGAACCCTTGGCCAACTCTTCTGTATCCCTCACTCCCTCCTCAACGTATGTATCCCCTCCTCAGGGTGCTGTGTAATGACATCCTGGGTCTGAAGGTGGCAGGAGATCCGGTTCTGACCCCTAACTCTGTCTGCCTGCGGCTGGCGGGCCTGAGCAAGCGTCAGATTCGTCTGTGTGTGCAAAGCCCCGACGTGACGGCCTCTGCACTGCAGGGCATCCAGGTCATAGAGATATAGTATAACATTTTTACAATATTTGACCATATTTTATCAGGGTCTAGAATGAAAGATTCCCTGACCAAGATGGCCGTCATTTTAGTCATGCTACCAGGATACCAATTTCCATTCTAGTGTTGTATTTCATTCTATGATGCAGGTGGCCATCCACGAGTGCCAGCACCAGCTCAGAGACCAGCGGTGGAACTGTTCTACTCTGGAGAGCCACAGCAAGCTGCCTCATCAGAGTGCCATCCTCAACAGAGGTGAGAGGCACACAGAGGAGCGCAGGGAGAAGGGGTTGGGAATAGGGCCAGGAGTTTCTGGTGACTTGATGATTTGATCAGGAAAAACTCCAGACCCCTCTATCTCCCTGGTCAGAATCTTTAGGCTCTTGGAGGGGATGGTAGACAAAAAAAGTATGCTGACATAAACATTTATTGTTGTGCTTATAGAATAAGAGTAATGACAGGATATGAAGTTTTTCTGTGATATTTAGATTACACCCAGTGTGATGACGTCATGACTCTGATGTGTCTGTCTGTCCTTGTCCCCCAGGCTTCAGGGAGAGTGCCTTCTCTCTGTCCCTGCTGGCAGCAGGTGTGGCCCACTCCGTGGCTTCCGCCTGCAGCCTAGGCAAGCTCCAGGGCTGCGGCTGCGAGGCCAAGCGTCGCCTGGACGACGATAAGATTCGCCTCAAACTTACCCAGCTGCAGCTGCAGACCCTCCAGAGGGGAGGAGCCAGAGTGGGCATGGGAGGGGGTGGGAGAGGAGGCGCACACCCCCAGGAGATCAGAGATGTGCCAGCCAGCCTGCGTTCTGCTTCTACCCACCCCTCCTCCCTCCTCAAGCCCCTGCCAGAGGACCTCAGCCCCCTGCAGGAGACCTGGGAGTGGGGGGGCTGTAGCCATGACGCCCGCTTCGGGGAGAGATTCTCCAGGGATTGGTTGGACTCCCGGGGCTCCCCACGGGATATCCACGCCCGCATGAGGATACACAACAACAGGGTTGGCCGACAGGTGAGATCTTGTATATTTTGTATGATAACTGCAAGTAAGAGTCGGGCTCTCATTTGATGAAGGTTTCACAATGGAATTCGTCAAGTTTTCTAACATTCATGGAATTGAATATTGAATTGAACCAATTAGTTATAAATTTTTATAACAGATTTATAAACTATCTATAAACTACATGTATAAATGATTTTAAATACATTTATAATTGTTACCCTAGTACATTGCAATCAAAACCATTCTAGACTTCTATGGATATTGACATGATTGTTTCCCCCTGCACAGCTAGTGACTGACAACATGAAGAGGAAGTGTAAATGCCACGGCACGTCAGGCAGCTGCCAGTTCAAGACCTGCTGGTACGTGTCCCCAGAGTTCAGGCTTCTGGGGTCTCTGCTCAGGGACAAGTTCCTCTCCGCCATCTTCATTAACTCCCAGAACAAGAACAACGGGATGTTCAACCCCCGGGTCGCAGCCGGGAATGGTGCCTCAAATGGGGTCAGGAACGGGGCCGGCGGGGGTACTGGGTCTGGGGGCGCGGGGGGCCCTAACAATGGGGGTCGGCGGAGGAGCAGTGTGTCACGTGAGCTGGTCTACTTTGAGAAGTCGCCAGACTTCTGTGAGCGGGAGCCGTCCCTGGACTCTCTGGGTACTCAGGGCCGTATCTGCAACAAGACCAGCCACAGCATGGACAGCTGCGGGTCGTTGTGCTGCGGGAGAGGACACAACATCCTGAAGCAGACACGCAGTGAGAGGTGCCACTGCCACTTCCACTGGTGCTGCTACGTGCTCTGTGAGGAGTGCAGAGTCACTGAGTGGGTCAACGTCTGCAAGTAGATGGGTAGACGACCTGCCAAGACTCCTGTAAGGACCCATCCAATAGGACGCAGCATGGCACAGGATCCACCCATTGACTCTCTGATGTACTATGCACAAACCCACACAACCAAACCTTTCATTTGGTATATGGGTAGACGATCCACTTCATCTACTAAGGCCTGACACTTAGTTACTTACTGGTAATCCTCTTCATGCATTGGGACGCATGGGCATCCACAAGAGAGACACCGTTTCTAGTCAGCAGGTTACTTGGTTAGCGTTCCCCAGGCGAGGCCACACTCTTTCATGTCCTTCTTAACAGTCCTTCTCCAGGTTTCTCCTGGACATATCCAGGACACAGGATGGCAAAATCAAAATCCGCCCTTTAACTCTGTCCAATATACACACATCCACCCAACCAAACCTTTCATTTCAGTCTTGGTGTTTGTTTTTCTATTTGCGTCGGCTGAAGTCTCCCACAGAATCTGTTTATCCCCCACTTCTCTGTCCTTTTTCTTTTTCCGTCATCTGGGATCTATTTTCCCTTTGTTGCCTGTCAAAATGCCAAGTCAGAGGTTGAAGACGAGGTGACTCATGTCATTTGTCTGTCTTTCCCCTGCATGTTTAGATGCAGCCCTTTCAGCCATAAAAATCTGAATGCCCTGGACCCCATCTGCTGTTCTGTTCTGTTCTCCCCTGCTCTCTACTCAGAAACAAAGAACATCTCAGACAGCAGGAACACATTATTATTTAAACTAAGTAATGCCCTGGCTACTATCACAGTGTACAGTTTTTGTGTACATGAAAAATGTATATTAATGTTTGTGTGTGAACTTATTTTGCCTTCCTTGCTTGGCATCTGCTGTGTGGGACTAGTTTATGAGAGGAACATATGAGTCCCAATGTGTTGTTCTGCTCAGGATGGTGAAGTTGAACTGAAGCTGTTATAGTCAACAAAGCCTGAACACAACAGTGAGACGCTGGAAAACAGACATGCCATGAGTTCTGATATGGAGTATGGTAATGAACTCCAGAGGACAATTATACTCATTGGATATTTTGCACCTATGCCTCAAGACTACAGGGTTTAAATTCTTTAATGCCGGTTCTCCGTTACGAACTAAGAACTAAGAACTAATGAAACAGAACTAAAGAGAACCAGGCATGATGGTTCCTCAACGTTTTTCCATTACCGATGGAATCAGAACTAGAGTAACTAGGAATCTAGTGAGGACAGTTTGTTCTGCCCATTGATTTTCTTGGATCTGGAGAAGGAAATCCATGTTTGAGTCTTGGTTGAAGCAATTTACCATTGATTGATGGAATGCTGTCGATCCCTCTCCAAACTGAACTGCAGGTAATTTAGGTAATGCCTTAGAATTGTAACAATCATTACCACAAACTGTATTATTGCTGTTTCTTGTGTTTTGTGATGATGTTTTTTTAGTGAATCGATAGAATTATTATGTCACAAATATGCCTCTACTTATTGTTGCGGCCGGAATTCTCTCATTCCATTGTGCGAGCAGAGGTTAGGTGTCTGCATGCCTGAAACGTTTCAATGCTGTTAAATGTGTAGGAAAGAGTATACAAGTGTACACTTCGGGAGAAAGGTAGAGAATTGGGACGCATTGGAGTCTATCAAACCCAGACACCGACATGCTCTATTCTCATGACCCGGATGAATGATGCTGAGGTGAAGTGTGGTGGGGTTGGAGGATTGGAGGCCTGCTCTACACTCCACACAGGAGAGAAGTGGTGAGACTCGTTTTATGGCCGCTTCCTTCATGCAGAGAGAGGTGGTTTTTATGGCAGCAGGATATTGTTTCCTGAAAGAATGACTTTTATTACTAGAAGAGAGAGGGGCGATTATAACAGTCAGTCTCTCTGTATTGTGTGTGTGTGTGTGTGTGTGTGAGCCTGGGATCATCTGTCCAGGGTTCACAGCCAAGGGAGACTCACTGCACCATGTGATGCTGCTACTGAAGACACTGTGTCCCTCTCTGTCTAAGTCAGAGACAGACAAAGAGAGAGACAGGGCTCTTGGGTGATTTACACACTAATCCCACATACCGTCCAGTGCCTGGCTAGATTAAAGATAAGAACATTCTTAGATCCACACATATGGGGGATATACTCACTTGATGGGATCCAGCTTGATCTTTGGGCGATCCAGCTTGTCTTAGGTCTTCAATTATCAATATTACTTTGTTAGTGTGAACATGAGTCCACTGATTGAAACACCCTTTTGGTAGACTAAAAGTGACTGTGTGACTGTCCCAATATCTGGATCAAGCGCGCTCGCCCTGGTATTTAGTGAGAGAATAGCAGAGAGGGGGAGACTGAGAGGGACTGTTATGGGATTGGAATGATAAGGGATAACTCGATCTCTGGTTTGCATTTCTTCATTCCTTTATCATTTCACCCTGGAGCTGCTGCTGCTGCTGCGAAGGGGAATTTCCTGTCACCGTTCCTCCCCATGTGTGAGACAGAGGTTGGACAGCCCTGGATCGCTTTGTCTTCCTCTATTCTCCTCGTCTCTCTCTCACCCTCTCTGTGTGTCAGTCTCTCAGTCTCTATCTCTCTCCCTCTCTGTGTGTCAGTCTCTCAGTCTCTATCTCTCTCCCTCTCTGTGTGTCAGTCTCTCAGTCTCTATCTCTCTCCCTCTCTGTGTGTCAGTCTCTCAGTCTCTATCTCTCTCCCTCTCTCTGTGTCAGTCTCTCAGTCTCTATCTCTCTCCCTCTCTCTGTGTCAGTCTCTCAGTCTCTCTCACTCCCTCTTCTTCTCCTATCTCCTTCTCTACCGCTCTCTCTGTGTCCCTGTCTCCCTCTCTCTCCTCTATCTCCCTCTCGCTCGCCCAGTGGTGTAAAGTACTTAAGTAAAAGTATTACTTAAGTAGTTTTTGGGGGTATCTGTATTTTATTTTACTATATATATTTTTGACAACTTCTACTTTTACTTCACTACATTCCTAAAGAAAATAATTTACTTTTTACTCCATACATTTTCCCTGACACCCAAAAGTACTCGTTACATTTTGGTCGTCGCTGGTCATCCCTACTGCCTCTGATCTGACGGATTCACTAAACACACCTGCCTAGTTTGTAAATGATGTCTGAGTGTTGGAGCGTGCCCCTGGCTATACATACATTTAAAAAATAATAAAAATGGTGCCTTAATATAAGGAATTTGAAATTATTTATACTTTTACTTTTGATACTTAAGTATATTTTAGCAATTACATTTACTTTTGATACTTAAGTATATTTTAAACCAAGTACTTTTAGACTTTTACTCAAGTAGTATTTTACTGGGTGACTTTCACTTTTACTTGAGTCATTTTCTATTAATGTATCTTTACTTTTACTCAAGTATGACAATTGGGTACTTTTTCCACCAGTGCGCTCGCCTACTCCCACCCCCCTTTCTGTTCCTGTCTCCCACCATGGCTGCAGTCTGCAGACACTGACACATGCATGGCAACACATTGACTGCCCCTATAGTAATGACAACCAGACCCAGCTGAATTAAAGGGAAACTAGAAAAGATAAAAGTCCTCAACGTTGACTGACAGGATGATTATACTGTATGTTTAACAGAAGATGATTCAATATGTTTAGCCAGATTGAAAGAAAGCCTAGATAGATGCATACATACAAACATGAAGGCAAACTCTGCAAGAGAGGGAGAGAGTGAGAGAGAGGATTTATAAAGTATATTCTGTATAAATACATAGCTCAAAACATCTGCTTCTCGACTGACTCCCCTTTCGTTTTTGATGTGGGACATGCAGAGAGAGAGTCAGGCAGAGGGAGAACACAAGGAGCCTGCTACCCAGAACATCAAAGCTCTCCGCTCCTCTGCCCTCAACATGCAAGCCCTCATTAGTTCTGCAAGCACAACCAACCTGACTTGTGATTGTGTTTGCTGGGGTGCACTCTGGCAAACACTTCAGAGGAATAGGCTCCTTTAAATTATAACTCCAACCTCCCCAGTTCTCTGACGCACCCACCACCCCTAGTCGTCCCTACCCGCTGTACAGTAACCCCCCTATAACCCCCTCTGCGCTCCCAACACACACAAACACGGGCTACGGCACACTCCCCCTACATCCACTCCACCCCGTAGTCTGGTGTGCAGCTGCTAACATCTGCTTCACTCTTTTCTATTTTGCTTTAACCGCTGAACAAACACACCTATCATATATAGAGCCACTGGCTGACAGACGTACTGTACAGAGAGACACACTGGTTTATCAACACGTAAATAACTCACTCAATTAGTAGGCCTTTACTGTATATATACTCAAAGCTAAGGAGTAGGACATCAAATCAATAATTTTGACAGACAGGTGACTTATCTATAATGGGTTGAGTACCGGGTCTTTGAACCCATATTTGAAACCTAGCAAATACAGCCTCAGATGCAAGCCTGTATTAACCATATAACCCACTTACAGCAGTTCACCTTAGATGCTTCAAAGAAGGTTTGGCTTTGACAAAGTCAATTAAGGCTGGCTATGGCATTGCTTTTTGATGTGTTTGGTATGGTATACATGTAATAAAGGGAAAATCATGTGTAATGTATTTTCCCATTGTTTGATCCATGATGATTCAAGAAAATTCAATAAAATCAAAATGTCGCCACAGCACTGTCAATGAGTGGCCTCTTGTGAGAGTGATTCAATGTAGCCTAAATTCTGCCTCTTCTCAGCTCATTGTCTCTGCCACACTAAAGCTCTGCCAAGAAGTATCCTTTGGCATAGTTTTAACAGTTCACCACTTACTTATTCATTAAGGCGTTTCTAGGTTGAATTATTCATATAGGCTATGTTTGCCCCTAGTCAAAATGTTTTACTATCTAGTCTCTTATAATATAACAAAAACTGTTGGCTATTTTGTTTTGAATCTCTAAACACAAAAAATACGTTTGACAGGCATTCATTGCATTATTGTACAGTAACAGAGCAACATGTAATCTAAGCAGGATGTTTATCGCGGGGCACTCAAACAAACCACACAAACACTGCGTCAACTCAAGCCCTGACTAGGGTTGATGTTATTTCAGTTTCAACTCAGAAGGCTATATGAAGAGCATTCAATGAATTACAAAAACCCCATAAAAAAACAAATAAATCATTTTCAATAAAAACAGAATTGACCCCCAGCCGCCTCCAACTGAAAATGGTGTCACTCAGACATATTGGCAGTGAAGGGGGGCGCGTGATCGGCCCATGAAGTGATGGAGAGGTGTACTTGGTGAGCTCATCATCGCGAGACTTAAGGAGCAACCTTTCTTTCTTTGTGGCTTCTCGCGAGAGACAAACTGCACTGCCCGAATCCAGCTGGTACCGCTAACAGAGGTAAGTGCGGGTGAGATATATAATATGAAAATGATGGATAACGTAAAACTGTAGAAATACAAGAATGCGGCATCGTGTCATGTCGTTACAGAAATAAAAGAACTAGTTGTTTGTAGTGATTCTAGTGAATTAATGGCGTTCATACAGGCCACCTAAGCATCGCTTGTAGTCGTGACTGGAGGAGATAAGGTGAAAATCATAATTTGCCTATGGATGGAAATAAGAGTTGCCATTGTATTTGTGATGTTTACAGTGTGTCTACATATTATATTTAACAATACTATTTAATTGAACCGGCATGTCGTGGTGCCAAATGTGCTGCAGAGATACAGGGTGTTCCAATCCACACACACAGGCGCACTGAGGTTGCTACCATCATTGCGAGTGCTCTTGCGCTACGACAGATGTGTTTCATAGTAGCCTATGTGGTCACTGCGATGCAGTGATTGAAAAATCACTTCATGAACACATTCATCCACGTATTTTTAAGCTATTTCAATATTTTTTTGACTCAGAACAGAAGACAGTTGTTATAATGCACCTGCCACCCTAGAACAAATTGATGATCCTTGCTTTAGGGCTGCTATAGCAGGAACAGATGAGAGGTTATTGACTTTATTGGCTATAAAGGATTAGAACAAAATAAAATGCGAAATCATTTAGAAATGTTACTCATCCTTAATCATTACACACCTACAACTGTTTATAAGGCATTTATAACACACATACAACTCTTTATGAGAGGGTTATAACACTGACAGCTGTTCAAAGTACTGTTACAGTGGCACATACATATTTCTGTAGATTACAGAACATATTTCAATGTATAGATTAGAACTGCTATAAACTACATAAACCCAGCTCAACAAAGGATTGCGGTAGGTAGTAGGCCTACATCACAGCAGCTCCTCTCACCAGTGTGCGGTCTGCCAGCCTACAGGCCTTCAGTTAGGTCAGCTTCCTCAGCCCGCCTGTGGAGGTGTGAAGTAGACTATTGGTTTTCCTCTGAGGTGGTTTGGAGCTGTTACGAGGTGTTAATGGCCTGAGGAGTGGTTGAAGGGCTACTGTGTGTCCTACTGCATGTCTCTGTGGTTCTGACTCTGTAAATCTACTAGCTCACCGCCTGTTTAGCCGCTGGCTTGTCATGTAGGCTATGGGGGAATTAGCCTATTCCTAGGGCTCAGAGTTTTTCCTGACCTTGTGATTTGACCGGGCCTCCGGACTTTTGCCTGGTCAGTTCAGGTAGTCAGCAAAAACTCTGGGCCCTCTGAATAATACTCCATTAATGGTATGTAACTAGGGACCAGTTTTTCTTGGTTAAGTTATAAGGTCAGGAAAACTCTGGGCTCTGACATCCAGCTGCCCATCAGCTCTGTAGCAGTGAGTTGAGGTCCGACCAGCCAACCAGCCATCCAGCCAGCCAGCCAGCCAGCCATCCAGCCAGCCAGCCGCCAGCCAGTCAACCAGCCAGCCAGTCACCATGGGGAACATCTTTGGCAACCTGCTGAAGAGCCTGTTAGGGAAGAAGGAGATGAGGATCCTGATGGTGGGGCTGGACGCTGCAGGGAAGACCACCATCCTATACAAACTGAAGCTGGGAGAGATAGTCACCACCATCCCCACTATCGGTATGGAAAGTCTCACAGTCTAACTACGAAGGTCATAACTTTATTGGCTATAAAGGATTAGAACAAAATAAAATGCAATATAATTTAGAAATGGTACCCATCCTTAATCATTACACACCTACAACTGTTTATAAGGCATTTATAACACACATACGACTCTTTATGAGAGGTTTATAACACCGACAGCTGTTCAAAATACATTTATCACACTAATTTCCCTTTCCCTGGTCAGGGTTTAACGTGGAGACGGTGGAGTATAAGAACATCAGCTTCACTGTCTGGGACGTGGGTGGCCAGGACAAGATCAGGCCTTTGTGGAGACACTACTTCCAGAACACACAGGGTAAGGATAGGGAGCGATAATAAGCTTTAGCTCAGAGGGCTAACACTGTTGTGACTTGTAAGCTGAGCAGGAGGGTTCTTAACTGATCTGCGACTGTGAAATGGAGGTGGTTCAATGAACCACGCTCATGTGATGAGTAACCTTGCCTGAGACCTGAAAATGTACATTAGCTCCTCAGGCTGCTAATGCCTAGGCTTTAGCTCAATGTGCTAACTCAGTCTTGTGACGTGCAGGAGACCTGTGTTAGAACCCTGGTTGGTGACACTATAGGGAAGGGGTATGCAAATCTTACCCTACGAGGTCCGGAGTACTGCTGGTTTTCTGTTCTACCTGATAATTAATTGTAAATATAATGGGGGTCAATGTGCGGCTAACAGCTTAGCTGCCTCCACTGACTGACTACGCCATACTGGGCTTGAACATGTGATCCTCTGCTTCTCAACACACGTGACCGTCCTCATTGACAACGTTCCAACCATTTGAGCTATACAAAAGGTACCAATTGGATGGCTCCATTGGCGATATTTCAAGCAAGCTGTGGAGTGAGCTTACGGTATGTTCTTAAACTCTGGTCCTAGATCAGTCCCTGATTGGAGTGGAATAATTAAAATATGTCTGTGGAACTGGCTTCAAGGTCCAGATTTGAATTTGAGGGCAATAGGGCCATGCTAGGACAAAGACTGCCCCTCCAGGCCTATGACACATCCAGCACCATGATGTCATCCTGACACCCGAAGCGATTGGGCTGACTCACACACTCTAGTTATAGACATTTGCATACTGCATCAAGCACATGTTCTTCACATTTTAAGCATTTTATTAGTTTGTATTAGGATTGTTATTCTTTCTATACCATGCTCCAGTTGGAAGATAAACCTGTTCATTCTGATAGAGGGGGATGCCTACAGACAGTAAAACATTGTCATCAGTGGGTTTGTATAGTTTCATGACAAGCATGTCGTGCTTCCTGACAAATAAGTCCTGTTGTGGTTCCAGGTTTGATCTTTGTGGTGAACAGTGTTAGGGTTCAGGGTATCTATCAAGGTTTCTCATAGTTGCAGGTCAGATCTTTGTGGTAGACACAGTAACAACGTTTGTTGTGGTTCCAGGTTTGATCTTTGTGGTGAACAGTGTTAGGGTTCAGGGTATCTATCAAGGTTTCTCATAGTTGCAGGTCAGATCTTTGTGGTAGACACAGTAACAACGTTTGTTGTGGTTCCAGGTTTGATCTTTGTGGTGAACAGTGTTAGGGTTCAGGGTATCTATCAAGGTTTCTCATAGTTGCAGGTCAGATCTTTGTGGTAGACACAGTAACAACGTTTGTTGTGGTTCCAGGTCAGATCTTTGTGGTAGACACAGTAACAACGTTTGTTGTGGTTCCAGGTCAGATCTTTGTGGTAGACACAGTAACAACGTTTGTTGTGGTTCCAGGTCAGATCTTTGTGGTAGACACAGTAACAACGTTTGTTGTGGTTCCAGGTCAGATCTTTGTGGTAGACACAGTAACAACGTTTGTTGTGGTTCCAGGTCAGATCTTTGTGGTAGACACAGTAACAACATTTGATGTGGTTCCAGGTTTGATCTTTGTGGTAGATACAGTAACAACGTTTGTTGTGGTTCCAGGTTTGATCTTTGTGGTAGATAGTAATGACCGTGAGCGGGTGAACGAGGCTCGGGAGGAGCTGATGAGGATGCTGGCTGAGGACGAGCTACGAGACGCCGTGCTTCTCATCTTCGCTAATAAACAGGTATGGACAATTGCTATAGCCTCACTCAATTCATATTTTTCTCTGCTGCCTCATGTGCTTTTCATCGCTAACTATCCTTCTGTCTACCTGGGATTTCATTTCGCCTATAATCTTCTCTCTCATGTTCTTTTGTCCACTCCTATCCTTCCAACTCTACCTCTCGTTCTGTGTAGGACCTGCCCAATGCCATGAACGCAGCAGAGATCACAGACAAGCTGGGGCTCCACTCCCTGCGTCACCGCAACTGGTACATACAGGCCACCTGCGCCACCAGTGGAGACGGCCTATACGAGGGCCTTGACTGGCTGGCCAATCAGCTGAAGAACAAGAAGTGAATGGACCAATCAGAGGAGAGTGAAGAGAAACCTTAGTGTCAGCTCTTGAAACAAAAAGTGGTAGTTGGTTGTAGTTGATCCATTAAGTGAAAAATCTTGACATGGTGGGAGTGAAATGTGATTGGTATGTAGGATGGGGACTTAGAGAGAATATCCCTAAGTTTAAACTGTACCATTCCTTGAGGACATTTTCAACCTGATGTCAATTATTAAAAACAGTTATCACCTTCCAGAAATGTGCCATCGATGTCAATACATGACATTTCATACATGGTTATTAACCACATATTAATAAGCATCAGGTTTCTAGAAACACTATTTATTTATTTATTATTTAATTAATACATGATTTATTCATTTATTTAATTTCACTTATACATCAGAATAGATAATAGCAATGTTAGTTGTTTTTGGAACACAGTATTATGCATGGCCATACAGTAAAAGATCTCTTGGAAATGAAGTTTGGAATAGTATCTGTCTAATGTTGTCTATTTAGCCAGTGTCTTCTGACAGTATTCTCCTTTTACACTAAGATTGCTACTGCTGGTTGGAGCAATGCAGTAATGGCAGATATTAATGGACAGTGACATAGGTGTGTGTAAAACACGTCCAATATGCAAGAGCATGCTTTTTTCTATGTCAACTGTATATTACACGTTTTACTTAACAAGAACAAACATATACCTGTAAAAATATACCTGAGATATACCTAAATGAATCATTGTGGTTGATATGTTCAATTGTAGTTATCAGGATTTGTGTATGGACTGATATATATAGACGTGTGAATTTAAAGATGGAGTCCGCGTTAGGGGAAACAGCGCCACTGTTTCGCCCCCAGCACCTTTGTTATTGTTTTGGTGTTGTTGACTAAATGGAGGTGAGGAGCATCCAAACCGAGGTGAGCAGCTTGGTAAAAAAATAAAGAAAGAAATTGCAGTACATATTCTGCTGTTCTATCGTGTGTGCAATGATGTCTGAAGGGGGGAAATCTGTGTTGGTTGTTTGCAGTAACTTCTTTGTTGTTGTAATATCCCAAACGGACTCAAAGGATTCCAGCTTTAACATTCCAGCTTGTGTGTTACATTTCCTACATTGGGTTTAGTTTGGTGCAACAGTTGTTTTTGTGGCCTTATATCTCTAGTGTTGAAAACCCTTTATTCTGATGATAGTTTGTGTGTAAAGTTGAACATCAAGTGGGACCACAGTTGTGGCAAAATGTATCAATTCATGTCTTGATTTGTTCCTCCTTTACCTCAGTTGAGTCTGTGCAAGATAAAAAAAATAAAAAAAAGTAATGTTATATTACTGTAACAATGTAATTACTTAACATTCCAGTTAATAATGTGTATTAAAAATAATTGAAACAGGGTTTATCTATTAATGTTACTAGAAAAAAAAAGGTATGACGATTCAATCATAGTTAAGAGTACATATGTATTGGTGAGGATGTGTCCAGTGATAGCAGTTTACCTGTTAACTGCACTGGTAAATCAATAAAAAATACCTACATTCATTCACTAGATCTTCAGATTGTGTTAGGACTCTTCTTGAGTTTTGGGGTGTGTGTGAAATATTTTCACAGCTTGGCCCGCAATTTAGTTCAGCGATTCAGAGGTCCATATTGGCACCATCCCCAGCCCATGCGCTATCCCTGCAACAGCCCTGTGTCTCCAGCCCTCCAGCCTCCAGCCCACCCCCACTGGCCCCCCACCCTAGCCCCAGGCCCAATCTGCCCCGCCCCTCCATCCCCAGTGCTGTGTCTCCAGGGGTGTGACAGCAGTATGTGGGTCAGATAGAGCTGCTCCCTGGGCTCCCGGGCCCCCGGGGCCCCCTGCAGGCCTGCCACAATAGCGGCCCCAGGGTGGGTGCCATATCTGGGATTCTCTTCCGTAACCGGGACGCCCCTCGCCCAGGGCACAGACACACTGGCAGCAGCCCCACAATCAATTCATCAATCTGTTGAAGGGAGTGGCTACCAGGCGGGATGCAAAGGCCATGCAGAGGACTGGGGACTGGAGCATCAACCTGCCCCCACACACGGCCTGGCCCCGGACAGACAGTCCGACAGTCAGACAGACAGTCAAACAGAGAGTCAGACAGTCAGACAGGCTAGGGCCACTAGGGATGATGATGATACTCTGGTGAAGAATCTGAGGAGGTCTGGCAACAGCAGCCAAAACCACCTGAGCTGGGTCAATCATGGAGCCATCATCGTAGTCTGTCATGGAGCCATCCCACTCACAGTAGTCTGTCTATAACAATAGTCTGTAGTCTGTTGATAGAACATCAGATCACAGATTCAGGACTGGCTGACACATGTAGACACCTGAATACTGTCTTTACTGTAAAGGAAGGCCGTTTTTTCTCTTGCATTTATCTGCTGTTAAAAATATTCAGATTTAAGAGTTGACCCTAGGAGTTGAAAAGTCAGAAAAACTCATAGAAAGTAATACAAATGGAATATTGTGTTCTTATGCAACACCATTATAATAGTTAGAGATGGGGATGGATTTTGTGTATGTTTTTACATGAAAGGCTAAATGTGTAGGCGTATTACATGCTAAACGTGCAACATTTGCTCAATGTTCAGCTAATAAACTTCTGTGGCTCTCAGGCAGACAATTCAGAGCCCTGGCCTCTGTCTCCCCCTGCTGTAAATAAGGAATCACAGAACAGCTAGGGGATGTATGTACATAAATTAGGTACCGCCTGTCTGATGTAAACACTAAGGGCCGATTACAACCCGAGTTAAGCGCCGTAAATGCAACGTAATTCCCTTTGCTATGCACCCTCTATTTGTTTGGGGTGGAGATCGAATAAATGAAGGTGTGGCGGAGGTGTCTACAGAACCTACCGGTTCCAAGTGGGGAAAAACATCTATACATTTTTTTGATAGAAATAACACCATTCTCCAATCAATGTAATTTACAACTTGATAAGAGCTATTGATAAAAGCTAGGTAAATGAGTAATCCATTTGGATAAGGGAATTATAAATAGAAATGACACTTGTTTTAAATCTATTTTACCTTATAATCGATAGAGACAAATGGGAATCAGTCATATGGCAGCAAACTGAAGCCTATCAACATTCCCACAGTAAAGTTTATGAAACGCTGTGCCGTTATGCAGCATTTAAATTGTACAGCCTTTTAACTTGCAGGGATGGGCACTCTCAAATGTATTTATTATAGGCGACCCAGACTTTCTCTGTTTCCTATTTCTACCATGTTAAATATTACCCACTATCAATCAGTATCAGTCAATCAGGGTTTAGCCTACTATTGTATGAAAAATGTATGCACTCACTAACTGTAAGTCGCTCTGGATAAATGACTAAAATGTAAATGTAAATGTATTGTACACTATTCTCCCTATTATAATTATATGTACACTAATCTTCCAACATTACCATGGCAATTTACAGCATGAATCAAACAACAGTTTTCTTTCTTTCGTGCATAAAGGCTCTCCAAACCCGTTTTTCATGATTCAATTCCTAACCCTAAATAATCTATAAAATCAGAATATTTTTTAATCTACCAATTGGTGCTGAAACGGAGACGGATATGCAAATATTTAGATGGCTTTCTATCATTAATTCCTAATATTCTGAACTGTTACCTCGATATATTCAATCGAGTCTGTCAGAACAAAATTCTAACTAAAAGGTACACCGTATTTAAAGGGATGGCTTAAGATAAATGTACTGAAAACCAGTGGTGGTTGGTGCCGTTTTAGAGGGAGGACGATTTAAATTTAAATTGTATTATTATTATTATAATAATATTTGTATGAAAAATATTTCCCTTTATTATTTTCCCCTAACCCTACCACCCCTCTCCTAATTGGAGTAAACTAATGGACAACAGCACTTAGGCTTCTACTTCCAGCTTATACAGTGCATTTGGAAAGTATTCAAACCCCTTGACTTTTTCCACATTTTGTTATGTTACAGCCTTATTCTAAAACTGATTCAATTGTTTCCTCATCAATCTACACACAATACCCCATAATGACAAAGCAACAAATACAACAAAAAAATGTAAAAACGGAAATATCATATTTACATAAGTATTCAGACCATCTACTCAGTACTTTCTTGAAGCACCTTTGGAGCGATTACAGCCTTGAGTCTTGAGTATTACGCTACAAGCTTGGCACACCTGTATTTGGGGAGTTTCTCCCATTCTTCTCTGCAGATCCTCTCAAGCTCTGTCAGGTTGGATGTGGAGCATCGCTGCACAGCTATTTTCAGGTCTCTCCAGAGATGTTCAATCGGGTTCAAGTCCGGGCTCTGGCTGGGCCACTCAAGGACATTCAGAGACTGAAATGTCTGAAAAACATCCCCACAGCATGATAATGCCACCACCATGCTTCACCGTAGGGATGGTGGCAGGTTTCCTCCAGACATGACGCTTGGCATTCAGGCCGAAGAGTTCAATCTTGGTTTAATCCAACCAAATAATATATTTTCTCATGGTCTGAGAGTCCTTTAGGTGCCTTTTGGCCAACTCCAAGCGGGCTATCGTGCCTTTTACTGAGGAGTGGCTTTCGTCTGGCGACTCTACCATAAAGGCTTGATTGGTGGAGTGCTGCAGAGATGGTTGTCCTGGCCTCCTGAGTGGCGCAGCGGTATAAGGCACTGCATTGCTAGTGCTAGAGGCGTCACTACAGATCCAGGTTCAATCCCGGGCTGTGTCGCAGCTGGCCGCGACTGGGAGACCCATGAGGATGCACAAAATTGGCCCAGCGTCGTCCGGGTTAGGGGAGGGTTTGTCCGGCTGGGATTTTCTTGTCCCATCGTGCTCTAGCGACTCCTTGTGGTGGGCCGGGTGCATACACGCTGACTTGGGTCGCCAGCTGTACGGTGTTTCCACCAACACATTGGTGTGGCTGGCTTCCGGGTTAAGCGAGCAGTGTGTCAAGAAGCAATACGGCTTGGCGGGGTTGTGTTTTGGAGGACGCATGGCTCTCGACCTTTGCCTCTCCCAA